CTGGGACGCTGCACCCGGTTTCCAGCAGGTGCAGCTCCCCACCAACAGATGGAGCCTTTATAAAATAATAATAAGAAGAAGAAGAAGAAGAAGAAGAAGGACTGTCTCTTATACACATCTAGATGTGTATAAGAGACAGCTCCTACCGCATCTCAACGCCCCCCTCCCCCCACAAGCTTTTAGCCCGCAACACCTCCTCCCTCCCCCATATCCCCTCCCCCATACCCCCTCCCCCATCCAGCTCCCCGGGACCCCCGGAACCCCCAATCCTACCCCCCTCTCAACCCCCTCCCTCCCCCCCACAAGCTTTTAGCCCGCAACACCTCCTCCCTCCCCCATATCACCCTTGAAATTCCTCATACTTCCTGGCACCCCTCCAAATTTCAGCCAGTTGGATCAACCGTCTCAGTTTAAACCACCAGTACTTGGCCCAGCTATCGCAGCCGAGCCTGGAAGTGCCCTGGGCGCCGTTTCCCGCCGAAGCGCCAATTCCATTTTTGTTTTCGGAAAGGCTGGCGGCGCCAGCCTTCTAGGTCCGGTTGCCCGAAGCGCGAACTTCGCGTAGGGCTAAGGCCCGCGGCCGATATATGGGCCAAGTACTGGTGGTTTAATCACCTTCTTTGGAGAAGCCTTCCTAGTTCACAATTGATACAAATTGGGGCTCAGTAGTTTATCTAAAGTGGGCATCAGCCATTACTAGGGTGGTTTTCCCTGCTCCTGTAGGAACAGGGGCTGACAGGGGGTTAACTTATGGTTACCCACCCTAATCACATTTCCTGCCCACTCAGCTGATATGGCAGTGCGTCATGTATACTTCTTCAGCTCTGTACCATACCTCGCCAAAACCGGGTAAGTGCCCCGGTATGTAGCTTCTTCAATGACGTATCTGGGACGCTGCACCCGGNATACCTCGCCAAAACCGGGTAAGTGCCCCGGTATGTAGCTTCTTCAATGACGTATCTGGGACGCTGCACCCGGTTTCTGACACATGGCGGTTCCCACCAATAGACTGGAGCATCCCGTGGTTGGCCTACTGGAGGGGGATGCTTGAATCACCCTCTCTAGCAGGACGATGACGGATAAAAAAAAAAATAACAGAAAACAAAATGCATTGATTCCTGAAATGCAATGCTAGAGTCCACTCTCTACAATGCTTGTTTGTGCTTGTTCATGTTTCAGTGCATTGTGCTTATAGTAACTTCACATGGTTGATGCAAGCAAATCCACTCTAGCATGCACAAGCACAAACACCCACCCAAGCCCCACACACACAAAAAAGAGGGAGAGGGGGGGGGCGGGGGGGGGAGGGGGAGGAACAAAGGGCAACAGAAGGAGGTCCACTGCAGTAGGTCCATTATCGCTTCTTGGAGCATAATATCACGAGTCCGACGCATCTAGACTACCCGCTCTTCCACAAAGTCCTATGGTCCCAAATTTCATGGTCCTGCTCCCAAATTCCATGGTCCCAAATTCCATGGTCCCAAATTCCATGGTCCCAAATTTCATGGTCCTGTTCCCAAATTCCATGGTCCCAAATTCCATGGTCCCAAGCTTGCAAAATTAGCTCCCATAACTGTTGATACCACTTTATAAGTTTATACACAACAGATCATGAGTTTGAAAATTTGAATCCTTTGATCAGCTGCCATGCCATGCACAACCCCATGTGGCTGCTGGACATTTCTAAGATCTTGAAATTCTTACCATTTTTAATCAGGGATCGTGTCTGGCGTCCTAGAAGCTCCTTCTTTGAGTTCAATTCCACCAAATATTCAAACACTGCAGCAGTAAACATCAAAGAAAAATCGTTATTAACTTATTATGAAAACAAATCTTCAAAATCTTCAAAATAAATTACAATAATACGAGACAGAGGACTGGATGGGGGATTGCTCCCTCCTTTCCCCAAACTCTTTCCCACCTCCCCGCCCTCATCCCTTTAACTGACATTTCGTTAAGTTTGAAATATTTTTTTCGCGTGACGATCTTGAGCTTCGAAATTTTTCAAATTTTCAACCATTTTTCAGATAATTTTTCATCCCATGAGACGTAACATGTTACAATGGAAGAGTATAATTGTGGTTTGATCATCCTCCAATGAGCATATGCTCATGTGGCCGTAAAAGCTAGGGGCGTTCTGGGGACTCACCTTCAGGTGATGGCGAGCACGAACGGGAGGTGCGGCCGCAACGAGGAGTCCAGGATGACACGCGGGGGGGGCAGCGGCAAGGACGACAACGAGCACTTGACGACCGCTGCGGAAGGGCGTGCAGGGGCTAGCTAGAGAGGGGGGTGGCGGGATGCTGCCTCAGCGCAGCGTTCGAATTCGAACCGCGGGGCGGAGTTCGAATTCGAACCCTGCGTGAACGAGGGCCATTGATCTACGGCGATCAACGGCTGACATTGCATCTACAAAAAAACAAGGGCCGGTTGCGCCCTGTGGCGCCGGTAGGTAATCTGGCCCATCAACCGCGCCAGGGCCAAAAAAAACACGGAAAACGGCCCTACCGCTATTTTGCGCTGAATCGCCCGGTGCTTGGACCAGGCGGGCCGCCCGGGCGGGTTCCAGGCGGATGAGCAGGTGCCCGTGCCGCACAGGAAGTAGCCTAGTCTAAAAGACTGTCTTGACAGCATTTAAAATGAAAATGCGGCATGTTGTCAGTCGCCCTGCAGCAGGGCAGAAGAGGCCTCCCATCTCCCAAAGCTACCTACTCAGCCAAGCCCCTGGTGCCCAGGGTAATCAATGCTGGTAGGAGGAAACCGTGCTCAGATTTTCAATGTATGATGTGATGCTGGACCCGCTTTCCAAGCAGGTGCCGTCGTGTCGAGCCCCACTAATAGATTGGAGCAACCAAAAAGCCCGCTAGCGGGGAGGTGCTCTTGCCACCTCCTCTATTGGAGGAACTGCTTTTCTCAACAAAAAAAAAGAGAGGATGTCGTGTGCTCAACATACATTGTCCCTGGGATGTAATATGCTCATTCACGGAAAGCTTAAAACTTGGCCCAGATTTGCACGCGAATTTTTTTTTTTTCAAATTTAACGAAATGTCTGTTCTTTCCAACCGTCAACACCTCCCCTGCTTCCCTCGTCCTTCCTTCATCTCCTCTTTCCAACCGTCAACGCCTCCCCTGCTTCCCCTTGTCACAAAGGAGGGGGAGCCAACACGAAAAAAGGAAGAGATGAAGAAAGAGGAGACTCTTAGGCAGGCGGTCACGGAGGAGGAAAGGATGATTGTATTCTGTTCAATTGCCGGAACAGAGGAAAACAGCACACAACTACTCACAGAAGACCCCATCTCCTAGGCATCTATAACATGTGAACCTCGACAAAAAAAAACAGCTGGTACTCCTGATGATGATGAAAGGAAGAGCCCCCAGTTGAGCACCAACAGCATAAACACCCCATGCCCAAGGGTTTAGTACTTAGTCTATTGATCAACTGCTCCTGATCAAGTACTTTCATTCGGAGATGCAGGTTGCGGGTTCGATTCCTGCAATGCCCGAGCGGATGCTTAGGGGCAGGCTGGTGGTTCCCTGTCCAAGCCTAGATGGATGGTGCTTCGGTCGACTAGGGAGGTCCCGAGCCCGCTGTCTTGTGCCAAGATAAGGTTGCGGCTGGCACCTCTCTGGAGCATCTATTGTTGGCTGGCTGGGATTAGATATGTGCCCACTGTCTGTGACCCAGCAGCTGGGCTACAGTGCATTCACCTACTAAAGTCAGGCAGCCCTTGGGGGGATGGCCCTATAAATTGAACCCGTTGGGGGTAGGCGATTCTTGATGAGAACGGAAGGGCTGCTTGCAGCACCTCAGGGGGACTGAGGGTGACACCTGTGCATGTGAAAAAAAAAAAAAACGCTGGCCCCTTTCAACTGCCCGCCCCTCTCTGGCACACACCCCACTCCATTTCCCGAGCTTGTTGCCTTGGGCCCTGGGCCCGTGGCACGTAATAAACGACGATTTGGTGGAAAAAGAAATGGAATGATCCCCGCTTCAGAAGCGTACGTGTCAATCAAATCTCACATGTTCACACACTGCTCAACTCCTTTTTTTTAATTTACAAAAACACCTGCAACAACGGATAGGAATGATGATAAGAGCATGCACTCCTACCTGTCATGCAGGGGGCTCCATTCTATTGGTGGGAGCTGCACCTGCTGGAAAACGGGTTCAGCGTCCCCTGAACAATGGTAAAACAGCACGTGCTGTTCACACACTGCTCAACTTGCAATCAGACTTGCTCTCATTCACACTTTACATGCATGCAAACAGTAGCGCAGCAAACTGGCGACATGCGCCCACTCAGTACTCAGAGATATGGCAACCCAGATACGAGTTCRCTTCCAATGGCTATGGCGACAAAGCGCCCATACAACTCTCTGTTCGCATACAATGGATCACCCTGGATATCCCACACKCGACTCTCTGAACAYTCACACACACACACAYTGAACACTAACTACAKCTATGGCGGCTATGGCCGCCTCTACCCTATCGCTATGGCTAAGCTCCGTCTCTCTGCCCACTTCGTCTTCGGGCCCACTGCAGACCTCCTTGCACAAGTCGCTGTGGCCGCGCTTCCGCATGGCTCACGCAGGAATGAATGAATGGCTGSGCGCTGCCTCTTGATTTATACTTCTGCAGCTCGTTGGTCTGGCCCTTTCCCATGCCCGAAGTGCACACAGTCCCATGCGGTACTTGCTTGACTGGACCAGGACTAACTGGGGACTGGGACTGCTGACTCAGCACGGGTAGACTCCACCACTTGACCACTTGCCTCGCTACTTGCCCACTTGCCTCAGTCTAAACGTGGGCAACTTCGAAAGGCCAGTACTGGGACCTTCCGGAAGGCCGTAGACTTGGCCTTTCGTGACTGTAGCAGCTACGACTTTGACCCTTCTGGACTGTAGCAGCTACGACCTTGACCTTTCGGGAAAGCTACAGCTACGACTTCTAGACCTGACTAAGACTCCTACTCGACAGGTCTACAGATCGAACCCCGGCGACCTCTGCACCCTACGACAGTCTACCACTGTTACAAATACACAGGTCACGGGTTCAACTCTAAGGGCCGACACAGATATTGTACACAGGTAAGGTGGGGACTAGGGGTCGAGCCCTGGGATCCGCATCAGCTACTGCGAGTTGGTGAATACCGTTTCACTCCCACCGGCCTAAATTCGAGGTCCTCCGAGAATAACTCAGTCCAAGGCAGGACCTTTACCTCTCTGATCTCTTTCGTAGGCTCTAACTATATCGGGAGCTGTCTCTAGAAGTTCTGCTTTAGTGAACCAGCGGTCATCCTCCGGCTCCTGATAAGCAAACCGGACCTTGTACTGTTTCTGGGGACGACCTCTACCTCCTGTTCTGAATACATCTTCACCTACAATGCCGTCAATGTCGTATCTTTCGTCCATGTCTGGGGGGATCATGGACCGTCTAGATGGAAACTGTTGACTGGTGACACACGGCAGCAACTTTGATGCGTGGAACACAGGGTAAGTGTGGAGGTGTGTTGGGATCTCTATAGTATAGGACGGTCCATCCTCTCCGCCCTTAACTTCTAGCACTGGCCATGGTCCTCTATAGGCGGGCAGTAACTTTTGCGAGATGTTCTCCTCAGGTGCAAATTCTTTAGACTTGACCCAGACCAGGTCGCCTACCTGAAACTGCGATGGGTGACGGTGCTTATTAGCCTGTTCTATCATGCGGTGCTGGGCCTTCCTGAGGTTTTCAACAACAGTCGCTATCTCTTTCTCGTGCTTTATGGCGAACTCCCTGGTACCGGGCGGTAGCCTGTGAATCTGATCCCGGTTAAGCCCCTCAAACGGTCTACGTGGTCTAAAGGACTTGTGCAGCTCGTTGGGAGTGCGACAGGTGGACAAATGCACGCTGTTATTGTATGCACTGGCTACCTTGGGTAACATCTCGTCCCAGTTTATCTGATCGGGTCTAATGTACATGCGCAGAACTTGCTGCAGGATCTTGTTCATCTGCTCTGTCTGACCGTTAGTCTCTGGATGGCGGCCAGACGACATCAGTAACTTTGACCCATAGACTCTCACGAGTTCCTGCCAGTTCTGGCTGGTGAAACGACTATCTCTATCGCTAACTATGGACAACGGGACTCCATGTTCACAAACCCAAAAATCAAAGAACTTCTGTATCACTAACTCTGTGCGCGCCTCTGCGGGCAAAGAAACAAAAATAGCATACTTGCTAAACCTATCAACTACGACCATGACTTGGCTCTTGCTGTGTCTACTCATGACACCGGCATCCATGAAGTCAATGGAGACTGAATCTCCAGGCTGGTCTGGAATGGGCAAGGGTCTGAGAAGACCGAGAGGGGCACGCGTTGTGGTCTTGGTCCTTTAACAGACTTTACAACTGCGGGCATACTCTATGCAGTCGTTCTTCATTCCTGGCCAGGTGTACGCATGCATAAGATTGGCCAAAGTCTTTTGCCAACCAAAGTGTCCCTCTGTATCATGGCATTCCCCTAGGATTAGACTACGGACCTCCTGAGGCTCACTGTTGGGAATGCACAGGTGGTCTACTCCATTAGTCTTCTAGAATAACAAACCCTTTGTAGTGCGGTAATGTGGCTCAGTCTCTGGGGCCTCCTTAACTCTCTTGAGGAGGTCACTATAGATAGGGTCCTGCGCATACGCCTGTCTAACTTTCTCCTGCAGGTCACTCCCTATGTCCAGATAGTGAACTATGGCTCCAAAGTAGTCTGATCTCCTACTCAGAGCATCCGCAACTACATTGTACTTGC